AATAATAAAATGTTTGTATGACAGGTGATGTTTAAAACCCTCCAAGAGATGTGGTCAATAGCGTAAAAGCAAGGGCTTAACCTATGATGCACGACACGGACACGGCGACACGGATACGACACGACACGGACACGGGTTGGACATGGTATTATAGTTTTTATATTTAAAAAATAGTGTATAAAAAGTAAATAAGTATAATTTTAAAAATAATTTGAAAATAATAAATCATTTAACTAGAATTTGTGCTTAAAATGATTAGTATTAAGATGCCGGGAGTCAGGCGTCGATGTCGTTTATCAGTCACCGAGAGAGAAAATGAAAATACCTTCACTGCCAAAAAGAAATGAAAATGAGACTATTCGATGATTGGGTATTAAGTGCGGACGTTGATTTGGTGTTGTGGATAGGAAATAAGAAATTTAGTTTAAATGTCGCCAAATAAAAGAAATTTTATTTAAAAAAATTCATAAAATATTTAAGATACGCGTGTCCAATTTGTATTTAATATTTTTTAATCGGACAAGTTTTCGGCGTGTCCAACACGTGTCGGAGGAGTGTCGGGCGAGTGTCGTGTCAGACACTGCACGCCTCTTTAAGGAGAAGTGTCGGTACATCATAGGGCTTAACACTTTTAATGTTAGGCAATTCTGGATGTGTTTTTTATAATATATAATAATTATAATCCATTATTCATCAAATTTGAGCTTTTCTTCTCAAATATGTATTTGATATATTTAAGATGTTACAATTAAACTTGTGTGGTTGGGTCAAAGAAGAGGTGGATCAAGAAGGATGTACCTATTGAAGGTGAAGCTGAAAGGTCTACCTTGAAGCTGAAGCTTGAAGATCCTCACAAGTAGAGTTTGTAAATAACTATTTAATTGGGTTGTATAATGACATGCAACTTAGCTGACAAATTTGATTTTAATAACTGAGAAATTATTTACATTTTGGCTTAGTTAATTTACATATTTAAGCATGCGTTGATTGTTTATTGGGTGCACAATAAAAGCATATTTTTTCATAAATTTCTTCTCTTATTTTGCTTGAGGATGGCCTGGACATGTGAATACGGTAAGCTCTTAAGATAAAATTAAGATTTCTACCTGTTAAAATATAAGTAACATAAAATCAATTTAGGCTCCATGATTTTCAAATAAAAAAAATTTGCATGACTCCCTTTAAGGAGCCAAGTTTTCCAAAATAAAAATGATCATGCATAGCCCAATGAGTCTCATGTAGAACATACTTCACTTAGAATTAGATAACAAAAAATCTGCATTTGTGAGTTAGCATTTTGCATACCACTCATGGTCAGGCATCTTGGCATCAAAGTCAAGTTGTAAGCTCTATTTTCTAAACAAAAACTTCTCTGCTCTTCATATGCATTGAGACCATATATCAAGATTTTAAAAGCGACTAGGTGGGTTTAGCTGGTAGCCCTTTCCAAGCAGGGCAATAAATTCAGAGGCAGGCTGACTATGCCTCATGTGAGGTATAGTTTGTAAGTCCCTAGCAATTCGTTAGACCTAAGTTCGAGGCACTACCCCTAAATATTCTTCACCTTAGTTCTAGGGTCTGGGGCGAAAGTTGACTTCAATCACTTCACAAGTCCTCACCTTCCGGATATTTCCTCCAACTCGTGTTATTAAAATATAAGCACCAATATTATAAATGAAAATGTCTACTTAAACAAAAATTGTATTCTAAAATGTAAAGTCTAACATATGATAATCTGAACATCTCTGAGATATCTCAAAATCAAGTGTTCCTACTTCACTCATTTGGCCTTCATTCCAAAGCTCCAATCAAAAGTTGATCTCCTCTTCATCCTTTAAAATTTCTAAAGACCAAACCTTTTTAAAACAAAAATTTCATGAATTTTAAAATCAAATCTTAGTCAATATTTAAATGATCTTTAAAAGAAAAGAAAATCACTAATTTAATCAAAAGTTTTTTCAAGCACAAAAAGCTTGAGATGTAATTAACCATACACCCCATAATAAAATAAACCTTATTCAACCAAATTTTGAATGGAGGAATCTCTGTTAAATTATAAATTTTATTATTAAGTTTATAAGAAAATCATATTTTTATCATTCAGGGTAATATATCATATTTCTTAGGTCATACTCGATCATAAAATATGCAATTTGTTTAAGGCTGACAAAAATTCTCGAACAACTAGCTCTTCTAACTAAATAAACTACGAACCATAACAACCCGAGACGACAGAATTATGAGATCTTGATTTGGTTCATCATCATTTCATCCACCATTGGCTTTAAGTATAAATTGATAAATTTCAAATTCCAATGCCAAATTTCTTGTTGTCATAAGCTTAGTACTTGGGGTTACTCTTAATCAAAAGTTGTCCATTTATCAGAAGAGTTAATTAATTATAAGGGTTTGCGCCTACCTAAAACAAGATCATAAAATCTTCACAAAATGGGGGTGCAATTATTGGGTAGCGTCTTTTTAAAGAGGCTCCCACAATGCAAAACTTTCGCTTGCAACACAACTAGTTCCCATAATATAGCACTTTACCTTGCATGACACCAAAAAGCGCCTCACTGTTTAAGAGTTTTACTTTACTGTTCTTAAAGGATCTTTGATGTGACAACTGAAATTTCATCAAGAACTCTAAAGTTAAGCATACTCATACTAGCGAACTCGTGGGAAGTTGCACCAACGGGCAAAATCTTAAGACCTATTAAGCCAAGCTAAGTAATGATAAATGAGAGTTCAAATTCTAACAAATGACATCAAAGTAATACATTAGCTGGAGAATGGAACTATGTTACAGGTACAAAGACGTACTAAACCATGGGAGCCACCTTGGAATGGTTTGGCATAAAGTACTACAAGGTGGGAAGCATATCTTAAACCTACCAACACTACCTCCAAAATCCTGTCTACTTGCCACATAATTATGGCCTACATGCAAGAACACTAATAAAGATGTCAATTTCTTAAATTGAGGAGATTGAAAGATCCCTCAAGTATAGTGAATTTAAAAGTTTAAACATTGAAGCATCTTTTGATGAAATGGTTAGAATTTTTTTAAGAAATCTAAAGTTAACCATGCTCATGCTAGAACACTTATAAAATGGCTATCTTTTAAAGAAGCTTCGCCAAAATGACAAAACTATGAGGCCTACTAAGCCAAAGAATAAAAAATCTCAATTTATGAAAGCTTGGTTATGATAAATAGTATTACAATAATACAACAAAAAGAAGAGAATTAAGTGCAACGACAAAATATAACATCAAGGGAGCCACAACCCTACAACATCAACTAGTTTGAGACAATTACATAAGGTGGGATATGCTTCTTAAGAAAGATTAGCCTGTGTAAGAACACTTACAAGGACAAGAATTTTTTAAATACAGGAGCTGTAATAGTCTCTTAAGTACAATGAAGCAACATTCTTATTTATCAAAGCGTTTTTTGATTAAAGGTTGAAATTTTGTTAAAATTCTAAAGTCAAGCATACACAAGATAGAGCATTTTCGGGTTAGGTGACTCCTAAGAGGTTGCAAGATGGGGATGGGGACAAAACTATGATGCATTTGCTGAGTCAAAGTTGATAATATTTTAATGAATGAGAGTCCAAGTTGTGACAGATAATAAAGATAACACATGTTTTTAAGAAGGATGTGGCAAAGGTTTAGGAGAGAAAATAAGGAAGGGCAAAGAGAGGTAGATTAAGGATATAAGAGATATGGTAGAGTAATGAAATAAAATAAAGAAGAAAAGAAGGTCGGCAATAAAAGAGAAGAGAAAAGCTAAAAAGGAATAAGAGAGAGGAGATGGAGTTATGAGAGATTGGATAAAGGAAAGGAATCAAGAGAGGGAAGAGTTGCCCTAGAAATGAAAATTGCATGGATGAGAGAGTGAGAGAGAGAGAGAGAGGGGGTAAAGGGGATGTGGGAGTAGAGAAATTGAGAGAGAGAGAGAGAGAGAGAGAGAGAGAGAGATTTTACTAAGAGGAGTAGGGACAGTTGAAGCAGATCAAGCAAACATTGTCATTACCTTAAAGCTTCAAGGTTTTCTTTATAGGAGGAAAAACCCTTTAGGTATACTTACAAAGAATTTCTACATAAAAAAATATACTATCTCTAAACAAGTAACTTCAAACAAAATAAAAAGAGAAGATAATATCTAATACATCAATAAACTAATACAGTTAATCAGAGCCACAATGACCCGTTAGACCGGTCGATTGGACCAGTCCAGCTGGTCCGCATAGGACCGGCTCAGGCGAACAGAGGCGGAACTCTTACGCCTCCCTGTGCGCGCCGACCGAACCGCAAATCCCAATGGAGCTTTTTAGGAAGGATTTATTAGGGAGTTAGGAGGGAAATTTGAATGTAGTAACTGTTTAGAGATTTCCTTTTGGATTGTATGTATTAAATAGTTTGTTTTCCTAGGGTTAGTGCATCTTGAATTTGGTTGAAATTTGAGATCTCTTAGGTTTCTTTTGGGCTCTAGCGGCATCTAGAGATTTGAGAGAGAAATATCCTCCTCTCTAGCAGAGGATCAATTGTATCTTGTTATTTTCTTCCGCCTATTTGATTCTTGCAATAAAATTCTTGTTTTTCTCTAATTTTTTGTTGGATTTGTGGTGATTTCTCGCAGTTTTTTTCCGAATCGATAATATTTACTTGAAATTTTCAAGTGTTTCCTATCATGACCCAAATTTATCATAGCCATATCTAATCCATTCCATGTAATAGCATCTGTTCAATCATGATGCATTCAAAGTTGAAGTCAAGATAATATGTAAAATGGCCCAATTGTTTGAGGTTCCTGGAAATACAAGCTCTAGGGAAAGTTATAGCCTTTTCACTACAAAGCAAAGAGATTGTTTGTGCTACCATAAAATAGAACTATTCCATTATTTGCATAGTAAAAGTACGTTTCACCATTATAAAGAAATGATAAATTAGAATATAACTAAGAAACATAATTTATTATATATGTAGCAAGTTAGTACCAAGGATGCTGGAGAAAGCCAGTATAAGATGTTGGCGCCTGTGCTTCCATTGCACCTAAAGTATCTCCATGATAAGACCCATTGAGAGCTAGAACCTGAGTAAGATGCAGATAGGTACAGAAATTGACTGCCATACACGAGTAATATTACATTTAACATATGCCATCAATGATTAGCATGCCCTTTAACTTTTATCAGAGTTTTGCATGATTTTCCTGATTCATTAAACAGACAAAAAAATTTCCGTAGATGAATGAATGCAATCCAAATTGAAAAGGTAACCGTAAGCCCATCCGTAAGAAATTTACTTCACATTTGCATGCAGAAAAATATATCTGCCAGCATAAGTAACTACATCTCCAAATAAAAGAATGAACTAGTTGCCAATAGATAATATTCTTATAAAGCAAGCATAACATAATGGGATATGGATATGATGCCAACAGAAGATAGATACCAGTTTTAGAAAACACAGAATGCACAGCATACACGTGACTTAAAATATATATAGAATGACGCTTGCCAAACCCACTTATCCTGCACCCAAATAATGTACTTTTCTTGATTCTTGTATAATCCAACTTGAAAATAAAAAATAAATTTAAAAATGAGAAAAAGTTATATGGGATTCATTGGATGTCAAGCAAATGCATTTCAAAAGCTTTTCTTATGCACACGCATATACAGATCCATTAACATATGCATTGGTTTACACATATATAAGCCAATTTAACTATTATTTCTACCAACGAAATTGAATTTAAAAAAAAACTGTCAAAAATTACATAAAAAATAATATAACTAGCAGTCATTACAGAGTTAGAAGTTACGAATTTTAAGGGCTACAGAGCTCAATTCCCTACAACGGTGATTCAGCTACATAAGCTAATGAATGAAATTTCCTTCCAAAAGATAGGGATCCCCACGATTATAGGGGTTCACCAAATAGACCTAGCCGAGCTAAAAAGAAAACTGAGCCATCTTCATATTATGACATATTATAGCACTGCATTTGAAAGGTATCTATATTTCTTGTTGAGATTAGGATATCCCATTTGAGATATCACATTGGTTCAAACTCCGCTCTAGTCTGAAATCTTTTTAGGAAACCCAACACAGTATACATGGAGAACTGAATCATCTAATAAGCATCAATTCCGAATATAAATCATCGTGTCATAAATTATTATTAATATAATGTGAAAAAGCCAGATTAAAAATTTTAATATAATGAAAAAATCAGATGAAAAATATAAAAGAAATATACTGACATCACCACACCCTTATCTCGTCAATTCCACTTGAGTTCACATTCTCAAAGCCCGTCAATCCATGATCAAATGAGAATTTTCGCAAAGCCATTTTAAGTGCAATTTCCACTGCTGTAGACCCATTATCAGAAAAGAAAACTCGAGATGCCCAACCTGGAAAAAAAAAAATTTCAAGATACATGATTCTTAATGAATATGATATTAATAAGCAACTCAACATAAAAATAAAATTTACATAATCAACTAACAACATTTCAGAAAACATTAGCTGAATGAAGCATGACCTTTGTTGTTCCATCAAATATTGAATAAGCTAGTAAGAAAAAAAAGGAAAATTTCCACTAATTTAGACAAGCATGGCCCCTGTAATTTTATTTGGAAAAATAATCATCATGGAGAGTAGAGGTATTAGATTTGACTTATGTTAAGAAAGGTAGGGGTAGACCTAAAAAGACATGGTTAGAAAATATTAGGAATGACCTTTCTTTATTAGATTTAAACGAGAATTTGACTTTTAATATGACACAATGGAGAAAAAGGATTCCTGTAGCCGACCCCACGTAGTGGGATAAAGGCTTGATGTTGTTGTTGTTGTTGTTGTAATCGTCAAAGACCATTTCAGATGAAAATGCATTTATAATTATATTATAAGGGATAATCCCTCATACAAATGCAGACTTTTTGTTTTCTTCTTTTTTTCATTTGATTTTAGATCAAATTACAAATGCAGACATTTGAATATTTGCTTTGCTGAACTTTCCTATGCAAGCATCTTCTCGGCTAATCTTCTCGACATAGTGATCCACTTTTGAAGACTTCATTAATTTTTATTATTTTCTTTACTTGAATTAGAATGCGTTCGCCATCCATTTCAATGCATGCAATCCTCCTAAGTTACTGCAAGAAGGAAAAAGGAGACAAATTCGACAGCTACATTCAAAGAAGAGTTTCGAATAGTAGCTAAGAACACTAGGTTCAAAAATAAACATCAAACAATGATATGAGGTTACAACTAAAGTTCAAACTAGGTTCAAATCTCATATTATATTAGATATTTGAATCTTGTTGGAGCATAATTCGAACCTAAATTTTTGGTTCAAGTAAGGCTCGAATGAGGCTCAAACCTACAATTTGACCATTATATTTGAGACAGGTTCAAAACAGAGGTTCGAACATTGCTCGAATTAAATATGTTCTGGTTCATAGCATCTGACGGACAAACTAAGTTCAAACATAGCTTCAAAATAGGTTCAAACATGGTTCAAACTTTACAAGAATTTTATTCAAACTTAATTTGAACTTCATTCGAACAGCGTTAAAACTTAGTGTTTAGCAATTGCTTCAGAATAGGGATTTAAAAATAAGTTAAAATGAGATTTGAGCCTTAAGTTCCAATCTAATTTTCCTCATTATCATAAATGGAATTTATTCATTTGATTTATTTTGCTATATATATAAATATCAAAATTTATTATATAACTGTAAAGTGGCATTACATTGCAAGAGTAAAACATAGAGCTAGGGGTGATGGAGATATTGATCAATTAGTTTAAGGCCAACGATCTATTTTAAGATGGCCAAGCAATGTCACTTCAAGCAGCTTTTCATTCTTTCAAACCTATAGTTCTGTAAGGCCCTAATCCATCAACTTCCAAAGAATGTTGAAGATGCAAAGAATAACTCAATTATATTCAATATTAGAGGAAAACATAATTTTTTTTATCTTGAATTTGCTTTCATCATTGGATTGGGGTTTAGTTAGACCTGTCAATTTCGGGTTACGGGTCGGGTTGACCCGAACCCGAAACTGACCTGGTATTATTCGGGTTCGGGTTGACCCGACCCGGTTTTGCAAACGGGTCAATTTTCTGGACCCGAACCCGACCCGCTTCGGGTTCGGGTCAACCCGACCCGACCCGCGTAGCCACTTAGAGGCGCTTGTTTCCTACGTGTTGAAGTTCTTACAGTTATACTTTATGTCTTTAAAAAGTTTTAGAAGTAATGGTTTATTTGCTTGTCCGATTTCCGTTCCCGCCTCGTCTATACGAGCTAACCGGGCCGGGTCGTGACATTCACATTAAGAGGAATATCCTAAAGGTGGAGAAGAGAATAGGAAAGAAAGCTCCAACCCAATACACTATTAATGGATTTGCTATCACATTGCACTACTAGGCCTGTGAAGCTATTCCAAATCTAGAGAAGGGTTGAGCTGAATTCCTTGGAGAGATTAGCAGTTATGTCTAGTTCAACTAGAATATCTACACATAAGGCCTTGAATGATAAGCATTAGCATTATCAGCTTGCAAAAAATTGCCAAATTTAGAACCATTGAAATCATGTAAACACAGTCGAGGGAATGTAATAAAAATTAGAGCAACACATGATTCCTTAGAAGAATCAAAATGGGGCGACCATTTTAGCAAATGCATCTGGAAATCACTGATATAGGACTGTCAAGAGAAAAGTTTGGTATACTCTACTTTTGAAGATAGTATAATAAAAACATGACAAGGGTCAATGTACCCAATTGATTGGAAACAACTAAAGTAACTAAGACATAAATTTGTGGATAATCTCTAACTTGGTACAACCTAAGGAAAATTTGCCAAGAATAGAAAGATGGAGAGGCCTTACAAGCACTGAGACCTCTTCAATGAAGATGGGAGCAGGTTCATAGATGTCAATGTGCATGGTATGACTCAGTGCAACCTCGGCGTTATTTGCATGGGCGGCACACATGTTCAAAATGACGCATTATTTACACTATCCAAGAGCAATAGCGATGGAGCGTGCTATTTTTTTATTTAATATTAATATTTATGTTTATATTTATTAATTTTATGATTTATTTAATAACTTAATACTCCCACCATAACATGTAAGTGTGCCTACTTTCTAAAAATATCTTTTACATTTCATCGAATCAATTGATGCCACATCAGTATTATTTGTTATTCACACATTTAAAAGAAAGGTAAAAACGTTTGCATACATATTTACTTAGAGATATTCTAAAGAATATTCAATACAGCTCAAACTAAAAAAAAAGATATTCCATCAAAACGTGTAATATTGACTAATAGATGTGATAATAATTATATGCCGTGAATTTTTTTTGTCTAATGAAAAGGATTATGAATTAAGAGATGAACTTGATGAAGGTAATGAGATTTTTTGACATTTGATGATGACTACTAGGAAGACTAGTTTAACTTCTGACAAAATAATAGATTTGAAGAAATGATTATAATATTTGAATTTTGAGTTATCGAGATATTGATTACTTGAACTTAAATATCACTTTAGATGTTTTCATTATCAAGATAATTTATCTTTCTATTTAATAGCATTTCTATTGATATATATTTTATCAACAATTATTTAATATTGTGTCATATTTAAAATGGCACACAGTGCATCGTGTGCTATGTTCTATGAGCTATATGTCATGTCTCTACAAGGAACTTTGTACTATGATGGGTTATTCATCATTGGCAAGTTAGACCAGATTTTCCCTGTAATATGCATGGATGCAGAGGATCGGATAACATTCGATCTTGATGGAAAAATAAAGGAAAATTATTGTTAGTTGGGAAGGAATACATTTTTGAATCATTCAGCCCACCAAAAACATTAGCAAAGGGATAAGGTGGGAAAGTAACAATAGGCATAAGTTCTAAAACAGAGGAAGCAGGAGAAGGAACATCCCTAAAGCTAGGAATCACGAAATAGGTTTGGGGGTTCATCCAAAATCATAGGAACAACAATGTAGGAGAAAGAAGAGGTGAGATCCGTTGAAAATTTGGGAACAAAAAAGGAGAAGTATCAAAATTGGAAGGCAGAATGATAGTCGTAGAATCATTTGAAGACAAATGAAGTGAATGAGGACGACATTAGAAGCTACAACAAGAACAAAAATCCACAGAAGGTGGGAAAGCAACAAAATAAGGCAAAGCTTTAGCTCTGGGACCTACCCGAGCATTAGTGCAGGAAGAGCTAGATGCCAATGCCATAAAATGTCAGCATCAGATCGAGTGAGTGAGCAAATCACAAGCGACCAAGCAAATCCAAGCGACCAAAGTCGTGTACACGAAGAAATGAAATATAGAGCAAGTTATGCATCAAAATATGAGCAAGTGCAGCCAAGCATGATTCCGTGAGAGTGATGGAGGCGTACAACCACAAGAAGTGAGCATGCAGTAGGATGTAGCAAGAACGTAGTGTGGAGGCTATTATCCTGAGTCATTACTAACAAAAAATTGTTTAAAAAGGGTCTTAAGGAAGTATGAAAATGGATATTTTCTGTTGACGAATATTTTTGTGTCGACCCGACCCCGATCGAGCCCGACTGGGTTTGATCGCACTCGAATGATTCAATCGAAGCAAAATTGACCCAAATCAAGCCTCGATAAAATTAAATTAAATTAAAATCAAATCAATCCAAATCGAAACTCATCGAGCACAATTCGACGCCGATTCAAGTTTAATTTCTCAAAATTAACTTTATCGGATCAATCGGACCCAAACCGACCCAAATCAGTTCAGGTCGAGTCCAATTCGGGCTCAATTTCAGCTCAAGGGTTGAGATTTCATCTCAAATCGCACCCAATCTCACATCAAATTTGGCAAAGAATCCACTCGAGTGGAATTTCCCCGTTTCCTGCATTGAGGAAGCGACATTGGGTGACTTGGGCAGTGGCCTGCTCTTTGCGTGCGCCTCTAAGAGAACGAGAGGGAGAGGGGAACAGCATTCGGCTCCCCTGGGCTTGTCCATCCCGAGCCAAAAAAGAAAGAGTGAGAGAGCGAGAGAAGGAGAGGCGAAACCGTCTCACCACTTGCGTGCGACTCCACCAGGTGGAACTGGGACCCTTGCGTGCGGCTCTACCGTGCGAAGCCAAGTCTCCTTCGTTTCCCCCCTTCCAGCGAGCTAGAGCCGCAGACGAGCGACTCTTATAGGAGGAAAAGGCAAAGCTGGAGTTGGGGATTTGAGGTCTTTTCCTCATTACAAAGAAGCCAAGCAAAGGTTAAGACCTCCATTTACTTCCTTTCTCAAAGGACAACGAAGATAGCGGCTTCTACCTCTTCCTCTTTCAACTCCGAGGAGTTCGTAGAGGTCGATGGAGTTGTTGTAAGTTTCCAAACAGCAAGGGAAG